GGGACCTCCCCCGATCACCATGAGTTTTCATAGATGTTGATGCCTTGTGTTTGGAAAATCCTGACCATTTTCATCAAAGGATTAACATGTTCAGAGGTAGGCTGGAGAATTTGCACAGCAGGACTGCCCCATCACTCAGCATCACATTTGTCTTTATGGCTCTTTTTAATTCTTGTAGAAGCTGGTCCATGGGATCCAGGACCATCCTCTTTCCAACAAATCCTCTCCTTGCTGTGCTAGGTCCACTTGCTGTCATTTCCCTAAAGCAGTGACAAGGAGAGAAGGGAGCACCAGTCAAATGGGGAGCCCAAAGTGAATTTCTTACATTTAAATTCATTGCAATGTTTTTCAAAAATTAGAAGCTTGCCCCTTCCCTCCACTAATCTAACAATGGCCTTCTCTCTAGCCTTTCCTTTCTGCTCTGCAGGTTCTGATACCTGGAACAGCCTTTGTTACTTTTCCACCTCATCGGCTCTCTGGCCCAGACCCTTCCCCACTTCAGGGCAGCTTTATCCCACTCCAGCAGGGCAAAGCTGTTCTAAAGGTGGCAGACCTGAGAACTCCTCTATTGAAAGGGAAAACTGGGATGACATAAAGCTGCCATACTGGCCCCTACGTAGCCCCTATCCCAGCTGCCAGTGCAAGACCCCTGTATTTCCCATGACAAAAGGGCAGGGCTGGGCTGCGGCACTGTTCTGTTTGGCTGAACTCCAGTTCATTTCCATGATCAGAAGAGGCATGAAGGTGGCTTAATGCTGTCCTGTCTTATATCCTCCTGTACAGTGTTATGGAACACAGGTAGTATGAAAGACACAATGCACCATAACATTATATTGTGTTGGAGGGGGACAAACCAAACAGTTGGATCGGAACATTCTGGCACTTTGGAGGAATTCTGCATCCAAACGTGAATTCTAGGTTTGAGACCTTTCTTTATGCTAGGGGTTGGGCCCACCTATGAGGTATAGAATACTCCTACTACTTCAGCTTTGCCATATTTATGAACTGATGGGCCCAGCTCTGCTGGTAGATATGCATGCATGTCTCCCATTGACTTCAAGAGAAGCTGCATGGGTATATCTGAGGGAGATTGTGTATCTCTGTGAACACTCAATACTGTATTACAAAGTAGTGGACTATGTGGCTTCCAGCTGGATTCTGATTCTCCTCTCACTTGCACTGGTGTAAATCAAAAGTTCACCCACTGAAGTCAGTCAAAAATTGTTGTGAGAGGAGAATCAGACCATCAGTGTATTATCTTGGTATCCTTCCAGCCCAGGGATATAGCTGAGGTAGCTTTACCTTCTCTATAGCCTCACCAATTCCCAGGGGCTAGACAACCCCTCCTAGTAACTACCACATTTGTGACTCACTAATGCTGCTCACTCACTAAGATCGAGAGTGACTGAAAATCAGAGGAAAACTTTCCATGCGGCCGCTACCCCATCTCCATGTTAATATGTTAACTATAATTAGCTTTTGCATGGGTTTATGTAGGCGTGTAACACAGTGAAAGGTGAAGTTCACATTTTAGAGTTTTATGTTTATTGATCCTGCTTGAGGAGAGATAATAATTAACGTTAGTTCTCTAGTAAACCCAAAGGAAGTATCACTGTAGCCCAGCTTGGAAAAGTTGCAATAGTCATTACTTTTGTGGCCCTTCCTGTTTATTGCCAGTAGGAACAGAATGTCTGGTATCGATGTCGGGATCATCTTGAAGTTCTGGAGAAAAAACAACAACCGAAAAGGTACATTGTGTGGGAATGGCATGTGGGGTGACATCCATTGGCTACATTATGTCTGTATTTTAAAACCAGGAATAAGCTTAGCTCACAACCTTATATTTCTTTCTGACTCCTCCCTTCCCTCTCTCCTCTGCTCACACACAGGCTCTCACCAATTTTTTCCACTTCTTTCTCTATGACGTTTCTAAATCCAGACCCTATGGATTTCTCTTGCTTGAGCTACTGTGACCTCCTCCTGCTTGGGCTCCCTGACTTCCCTTTCTTCAGCCAATTCAACATACAGCACCTAAAACAAGCTTCCCCTGCTTCTCCTCAGACACATCACTCTGCTCTCCTCAACTCTCTGTTCCACACAAAGTTCAAACTCTCTGTCCTTATTTTTAAGGCTCCTCACAGCTCTGCTCCTGCCCACATCTCCTCCCTAATCAGCTGGTCCCTGCACTTTGACTGCTGTGTTGCCCCCTTTGTCTCCTCTTCTTGCTTTCGCTTTCATGACTTTTTCATTCTCCTCCTTACACTTGGAAGTGCATCTCTTTTCCTGGGTGCCAAGCATCCTCACTCTCACTTCCGTCCCTGCTCACACCCCTCTTTCTCCCATAGACTTCCCTTCCGGTGCTTCCTACCCTTCCCTCTTGTCCTACCTAAGACTTTTTTGAAGTATCAGAACTTACCGTATTTGTTCACTATGTAGGGTGACCATATTTCCCTATGCTGAATACAGGATACCTGGTAAAATTACTAGTATATAAGCAAGTTCAACTGCAATCAATCAGAACTATGCAGAACAAACATTCAAATTAACATCAAATTGACTGAGCCCCTGTTAAAAAGAAATACTGCATAGTTGGATTCTTTTTATTTACCTTATTATCTTTAAGGCTTTAGGGTTCATATGGGGAGAGGTGACACACACATACTCCCCTACACCTCTCTCGCACAGGAGAGGTGACTGACCGACCTGACCTCCCTGCCTGGCTCTCTGTACCCTCCATGCAGGGGCAGATTAGGGTTTTGTGGGGCAATGGGGGCTGCTATGGAGCCTACAGGGTCGGGGCCCGAACAGGCTGCAAATCACTTCCTCCCCGCCACTCCAGAGTTTAGCCGAGGGGCGGAGAGGCTTCCCGGTGCCAGTGGGGGCTTTGGCACATGCAGGGCTCGGCTCCTCCTGGCCAGCACCCTGAGCTGGCGGGTCTTGGGCTTTCCCAGGGTGCTGGCCCAGTCAGAGGCAGTGGGGGAAGGAAGGAGCCTGCCGGCCAGGCTGTTGGTGAACTCAGCACTCCGACTGGGGCTGGTTCTCCGCACAGCGCTGGGAGCGGGATGCGCCCTCCCAGGTGGGATATAGAGGAGTAGTGGGGCTGGGTGTGTGTGTGAAGGGGCAAAGCAGGGAGAGGACAGCGAGAGGGGGAGCATGTAAAGGGCCAATGGGAGGGCTGCAGAGGTGACACACAACCGACCACCACCTGGCACCTGCCCTGACTCACCAGCTACTGCAGCTCGCCGCAGCGTGCAGCCAGCACCATCCAGAAACGGGATGGGGGGGCAGAGCCCTGCTGGCCAAGAGCCAGCACACAGCGGAGGCTGCGCTCACAAACCAGCAGGGGGAGTAGCCGGCCTTGCATGCTGTAGCTCTGCCCTGCCACCAGCCTTGCACACCCACCCCTATCATCGGCCACTGGATCCCTCCTTCCCCCCCTCCACCACTGGTGGGCGAGCAGGGATCCGGCCAGCAGCAGGACCCACCAGTACTGATGGGGGGTGGGGAACAGAAAATATAGGACAATTTGCCCATTTTTAGGAAAAAGTCAGAACACCTGCAGGAGGGATAAGATATGGGACTGTCCCTTTAAAAACGGGACGTCTGGTCACCCTATCACTATGTAATGCTAATCTCATTATTTGGATTTGTTTCAATCCTTGATTCTTCCTTCTCTTTCTTTGTCCCTTCATAGTCTTTATTACATGCACAAGGACACTTTGATGATACCCTGACCTTAATTAAGTGTTAGCTATAGATCATTCTGGATATTCGATAAACAAAAATAGCCTTATTAGTACATGTGTTAATGAGTGCCATAAGGCTATAGGCATTTATTTAAGGCTTGATCCTACAAGTGTTGAGTGGCCTCAACTCCTGTTGAAGTCAATGGGAATTAAGGGCAATTACAATCCTTCAGGGCGGTGCTTTGTGGCTTGCCTGATTAGAGGTATAGGCTCTTGCACAATAAGCATTACTGTTCCCATGAAGCCTCAAATCTGCCTCCAGTTAAATAGGTTTAATTCTGGAGTAAATCTACTGACTTCAGTGTTAACATTACACAGTTATAAATCCAGAGTAAATCCATTGACTTTGATGGATTTATAACTGTGAACACAGAGAAATTTGACTCTAATTTATTACATTATAACTACCTGGTAAGTAAATGGAAATAATCTACTTTGGCTGTCTACACTACAAAGTTTGGTCAATGCAAATTACTTCAGGGTGCAGGTGCCAAAGTTTGTATATTGCTTGAGCGCATGCACATTTAGATGCTTGTGTGGGCATGCCGCATACTCACCAGGAGTGGTGCATCGATGTAAAAATGAGGTTCGCACAGACAGGTATCTCACTGTGCCCCATACTGTTGTCCAGTTCATAGCCTGGTGGAACATTTTCACAGTGTTTTGTGGGATACAAGCAATTCATCCAGAGATTTCTGGAAGCTAGAGATCAAGTTCCCACCATGCCCACTTTCTTCATCCCATAATACTTTCTACATCCCATAATTTTCACACCTTTTAAAAAAAACTCCCACAGTCCTATGCAGTGCTTTTCTGTTTCTGCCATCTCTCTGACAAGCACCTGGACCCCTGCAGAGTTCAGCACAAGTATTATGAGAGTTGCAAATACAGGATGCACAATTCCCACTATTTGCAGTGCTTGAACAAGTACTACTATAACTGGGATTGCGATGAGCAAGATGCAGAGATGTTCAAGCACAATAACTGGACACTGATGAGCATAGTGAAAAAATATGCCAGGTTGCTGCTGGCTTTCACAGGGCAGTCTACATGGTGAATCACTGCTTCTGAGCCTGAGAAACAAGCATTGTTTGGTGGGATCACATCGTAATGCAGGTTTAGAATGATGAGCAGAACTTTCAATGGAAAAGGCCACATTTCTGAACCTGTGTGCTGAGCTCAGGGATACCAAAATGAGAGATACTCCAACAGCAGAGAAGCAAGTGGCAATCATGCTCTGGAATTGTGCAGTGCTGGATTGCTATTGGTTAGTGGGCAAACATTTTGGAGGTGGAAAATCCACAGTAGGGGCCATTGTCATCCAAGTGTCTCCTGCTACATAGAACTCCAACTCTCTCTTATGTACAGGACATCATGGATGGCTGGCAGCAATGGGGTTCCCAAGCTGAGTTGGGGCAATAGATGACACTCAGATCCCTATTCTGGAACCAGTCCATCTTGCTGCTGAGTGCATCAACGGAAAGGGATACTTTTCCATGGCTGTGCAAGTGCTAGTGGATCACCAAGGATGCTTCACCGATATCAATGTGGGCTTGTCAGGGAAGGTGCACGGTGCTCACACCTTTCAGAACACAGGACTATTCAAAAAGCAGGGACATTCTTCCCCAACTAGCAGATTATCACTGGCAATATTGAAATGCCAGTAGTACTACCCCTTACTTCCATGGCTCAGGAAGCCATACACTGGTATCATCAAGGAAAGATTCAACTACTAGCTCAGCAGGTGTAGAATGATTGTTGAATGTGCTTTTGGTAAATTGAAGGGACACTGGTGGTGTTTACTCATTAGATTGGATCTCATCAAGAAAAATACTCCCAGGGTTATAGCTGCTCCTGTACTGCGAATATCTGTGAGGTAAAGGAGAAAAATTTCCCACCCAGGGAGCCAGATGGACTGACAGTGTGCTGTCTTTGAATAGCCAGACACAAGGGTTATTAGAAGAGCCAACCGTGGAGCTAGGTGGCTGATGGAGGCCTTAAAAGAACATCTTAACAGTTGGCCACAGGAGTGTTGTCTTGTGCTTATATGAAATAGGGTCTCACGTGTGTACTTACTGAGATTAAATATGGGTGGGTCCGTGCCTCTCTCTCACTATATATTTTGTGATGCTTGGTGCAAACTAATAAAAGATGGTCTCATTTTCCAGAGGTAGAAAAGTGCACAGAAACAGCCAACTACATTAAAGTGCAAACAAACACACAAGGTTAGAAAACTTTTATTGACACTGTAACAAGGTGAGCCACGTTTTATAATGCCAAGTACAAATGGAAATAACCAGTAAACATTTATGTCCGTGTATCTAAAACCTACAATAATGTAGGATGTGGCTACATATACACTGACCTGTGGTTTTCACAGGTCAGAGTATGTGTAGCTATTGTTCTCCTCGTTGTCCGGCACGGAGCGGTATGAGTAATGATTTACACCAGGGGTTCTCAACCTTTTCTTTCTGAGGATACCCCAACATGCTATTAAAAACTCCACGGCCCACCTTTGCCACAATAACTGGTTTTCTGCATGCAAAAGCCAGGGATGGTGTTAGAGAGAACAAATGGGGCAATTGCCTGTGGCCCCATGCCACAGGAGCCCCCGCAAAGTTACATTGCTCAGGCTTTGGCTTCAGTGCCAGATGGTGGGGCTGAGGGCCCTGGGCTGCAGCCCCATGTGGTGGCAGGCCTAGAATCAGAGCTTAGGGTCAGAACTGGAGTCATAGGCTAAATGCCAGAACCAGGAGTCAGAGCCTAGGGTCAGAACCAGAGTCAGATGCCAGAGCCAATGGTCAGAGGTCAGGAATTGGAGCCAGGAGTCAGAACTGGGTTACCTGGAGTAAGGCAAGGCAGGGGCAAGCCTAGGGTGAAGGCAGAAGCAGTACTGGGTCCAAGATAGGAGCAGGCTTGGGAATAAGGCAGGAGCAGGGGCTATCAAAGCCAGAGGGAAATTCTTTGAGCAACCCCTGAACTGCTGCTGCTACTGGGCTCAAGAGCTGGTTTGCTGACTCTTCCAACCAGTCAGGTGGCATAGCCAGTTAGACAGACAACTACTGGCCAGGTGCACTTCTTAGGTTGCCCAGAGACTGACTAGCTCTGCTGCAAGCCCTTATTCCTAACAGTACTACTGCCCCCGCCCCCTCCCCAGGGCACCTCCAAGGGACCTTCTCAGGGTATTTCGAATGGAACTCTCATAATAGGTCCAGGGTGTGGATGAGCTCTACCAGTTCCCAAGACTACTCGTCTAGACAGTAGCCTTCCTAATCCACTAGGTACTGGAGCCTTCTCCTAATTTGCTAACAGTCTCAGAATTGGTGGACCGAGTGCTCCTCTGGTCTGTGGACTGTTATGGGTGGGCGTGACATGTTGGAGAGGCTTGGGCATGGGGTCTTGGTGTAGGCTTTAAAAGTGAGATGTGAAAGATGGGACGGATCTACAAGGACTTGGGCAGCTGTAACCTGAAGGCCACTGGGTTCACGTGTTCTATAATCTTGAAAGGGCCCAGGTACTTGTAGTTTAGTTTGGCAGATTTGTGGCTTAGTTTAAGGTGTAAGCAGAGTCAGAATGAGCTCTCCCCTGACATCTGGTGGTGAGCTGTGGACAAGGACTTCTGGGGCTGATCTTATTTGCATGGGCACACCCACCCTGCCTAGTATGATGGACTGCTTGCCCAAATGGTCACTTTGGCTGCTGTGGGATTCCCAGTCTCTTTGTTATTGAGGCAGGAGTAATAAAGGGTTGTTATCCTGGTTATGTAAATCAAGGACAGTAGAACTGTGCTTGGCAGTTTATGATGGAGGGACTTGTCCTCAACTAAGTAGCATTCACTAGGCAAGGGACATGGGTTCCAAAGCACAGGGAATTGAGAGAGGTGGGGGGCAGGTATTTGTATCTGATAATGTGGGCCCTGCCTGAAACACGGCTTTTACTCATCCTTTCTCTAGTGTGCTATATTCTATTAGGAGTCTTGTTATATGCTACAGAGCTGAAATCTCTGATACCTGGGTCTAAGCATTAGACCTACTTTGGGCAAGTGGTGCACTAGCACTGAGGCTCTCCTACTACCAGCTAAAATCACTGAGCGCTGAAGTCACTAAAGAGCTGAGATTGCTGAGAGCTGTGAGGACACTGCCAAACTTACTTGGGGGTGGGTCTTTTGCTCATGATTTGTGTTATGAATCCTGCTTGTGGTGTTCCCCAACATAATGCCGCATTGTTTCCCTCCTTTATTAAAAGGACTTTGCTACACTCAGACTCTGAGCTTGTGAGAGGGGAAGTATTGCTTCGTAGAGGCACCCAGGGGGGTGGTATGTAATTGTTCCAGGTCACTGGGTGGGGGCTCGAGCTGGTTTTGCATTGTGTTATTGAAACAGAACCCCTAGATACTGATCCTGGCCCTTGTTGCTGCCAACTCTGATGGGCAGGGGGGTTACAAAGGTTCTGGGCAGAGAGTCATACTTCGTCTCCTATGGCCAGATTGAGGGCAGCGTGCTGGTCTCATTCTGCATGGTGTTTATAAACTTCTTTGGCAGACTGCAGGTGTTCTTTGAGCTCCCAGTGCAGGTGGGAGGCTGTATCCCCAACAGCCAGTATTGGGGAGCTCATGGACAAGTCTGGATGGAAGAGAGGGTGAAAGCCATAGTTTGCAAAAAAAATGGACTTTGTTGGGTTAAGGCATGGGTCGAGGCATTGTTATATCTGAATTCAGCATGGGGAGCCAGTGGACCTGGTGGTAATTCAAAAAACAGTAAAGATACTGCTCCAAAATTTGATTTATTCTTTGTGTTTGCCCATTAGTCTGAGGGTGATAGACAGACAAGGTGAGAGACTTGATGCCAAGGAGACTGACACATTCCCGCCAGAATCAGGAGATGAATTGGGGACCCCAGACCAATATATGCCCATTGATAACCCATGGTCATAGAAGACATTTTCCAGGAAGAACTGAACTGGTCTCCTGCACAGTAGGAACAGTATGGCATGGGATGAAGTGTGCCATCTTTGTTGGGAAGTTGATGACGACCAGGATTCCTGAGTGTTCCAGGGAGCATGGCAGTTCTACAATGAAGTCCACTGATATAGTAGACCAAGACTGAGGAGGCATGGGCAGAGCCCAGAGGAAACCTAGGGGTATTGTATAATGCATTAGAATAGTAAAATAATAGAAATGTAGGGCTGGATCAAGTCCATCCCCCTGTGCTGAGACAGGACCAAGTAAACATAGATCGACCTGAAAGGTTTTTGTCTAGCCGGTTCTTTAAAAATTCCAGTAATGGGGAGTCCACAACCTCTTTTGGAAGCATACTCCAGATTTTAACTATCCTTAGGTTTAGAAAGGTTTTCCTAATTTCTGAGCTAAATCTCTCTGGCTGCAGATTAAGCCCATTACTTCAGTGGATATGGAGAATAACTGATCACCCTCCTCTTTATAACAGCACTTAACATATTTGAAGACTAATATCAGGTCCACTCTTCTTTTCTCAAGACTAAACATGGCCAGTTTTTTTAACTTTTCCTCATAGGTCAGGTTTTCTAAATCTTTTATTATTTTTGTTCTCTCCTCTGGATTCTCTCCAATTTGTTCACATCTCTTTTAAAATGTGGTGCCCAGCTGAGGCCTCACCAATGCAGCGTCGAATGAGACAATTACCTCCTGTTCTTAAATACAACACCTGCTAATACACCCCAGAAAGATATTAGCTTATTGCATCACACTACTGAATCATTTTCAGTTTGTGATCCACTAGAACCCCCAAATCCTTTTCAGCAGTACTACCACCAAGACATTTATTTCCCATTTTGTAGTTGTACATTTGATTTTTCTTTCCTAAGTGAAGTACTTTGCACTTATCTATATTGAATTTCATCTCGTTGAATTCAGACCAGTTTTCCAATTTGTCAAGGTCATTTTTAATTTGAATCCTGTCCTCTAAAGTATTAGCAACCCCTCCACACTTAGTGTCTTCTTCAGATTTTATATGCATATTCTTCACTCCATTTTCCAACTCATTAATGAAAATATTGATTTGGTACTACACTCCTGTGTAGTATTAAACACAGGAGTGACTCCTGTGGGCCCCCACTAGATACGCCCTCACAGTTTGAAGTGAAACATTGATAACTACTCTTTGAGTATTGTCTTTCTACCCGTTGTGCACCCACCTTATAGTAATTTCATCTAGGCTGGATTTCCTTTGTTTGCTTATGAGAATGTCATGTGGAACTGTGTCAAAAGCCTTATTAAAATCACATCTACTGCTTCCTCCCTATCCACAAGGCCAGTAACCCTGTCAAAGAAGAAAATTAGGCTGGTTTAGCATGTTTTGTTCTTGACAAATCCATGCTGCATATTCCTTGTAACCCTATTATCCTCCAGGTGCTTAATTGATTGATTACTTTGTTCCAGTATCTTTCCAGGTATCAAAGTTAGGTTGATTGATCTATAATTCACTGGGTTCTCTTTGTTCTCCTTTCTAAAGACAGATACTATGTTTGCCATTCTCCAGTTCTCTAGTTCCTCACCAGTCCTCCATGAGTTATTGGAGATAATTGCTAACAGTTCTGAGATTGCTTCCTTTAGTTCCTTAAGTACCCTAGGGTGAATTTCATCAGGCCCTGGTGACTTGAATATATCTAGCTTTTCTAAATAGTCTTTAACCTGTCATTTCCTTATTTTGGCTTGTGTTCCTTCCCATTTGTTGTTAATATTGATTGTATTGAGTATCTTGTCACCATTAACCTTTTTAGTGAAGACAGAAGCAAAATGGGCATTTTAAGTGAGATGAAACTTTGGGGTATGCAGGACAAATCAGGCTCCTGAAAGGGGTACAGTAGTCTGGAAAGGTTGAAAGCCACTGCTCTGAAGTGCCTGTAATTCAGGTTTGGAGATGGAATAAATGCACCAAAGGGAACCTTGTGGGACAGCTGCTGTAGGACGGTTAGGGTCAACACATGTAATATAGTGTCTACACTTGCACTGCATCAACCTTACTAGGATGACCATGGCTCTGGATTGCTCAGGGAGCCGCTGTATTGTGTTGCTATAATGGCTCACTTACATCAACAGGAGACAAACTTTGATGTAGACAAATGCACAACTTGGTTAAACTAACTTTTAATGTAGACCAGGCCTTAGTTTTTGAGAGGAAACTTCACCTTAATTACCTTGTTTTCCACAGGACCATAAGAATTGCTCCTGGGGAAATTCCACTGCAGGGATGCAGAATTCACCACCACTGCATGCATGCAAAATTCATACCCCCCACGGATTTATTTGCTTTCCTGCAGAAAAGGACCAAGAAGCAAAGGGAAGCCGCAAGAGTAGTCATGCACTCCTCTCTAGCAGTGTCGGCATGTTATTTCAGGCACATGGAGCAGCTAGTAGAGAGGTAAATTGTCTGGCGGGGGAGGGTGGCGGGCTGGGAATGCCCTTGCCAGTGGTTTCTACCCTGCACAGGCTCAGCAGGAGAGGACGGGACTTGCTCTTTCCCTGCAAGGAGCAGCCAGGGCTGAGTCAGACACCCCTCCTCCCCCCTCCCCCCCACCCAGAAACCACCTCTGCTCTGCACACACACATCCCCGCCGCTTCCTGCACCCATCGTTCCTCAGCCATGGAGGGAAGGGTCACTATACGGGAAGCTGCTCCCCTCTATGCCCAACCCCCATGCATCCGGACCGCCCCAGACCCAGACCCCCCCGCCAGGCCTCCCTGCACCTTGAACCCCCCCACTGAGTCCCTGCACTGGAACCCCCGCCCCACCAAGTCTCACCCCCTGCATCCAGAACCCCCCCTGCACCCAGACTCCCTGCTGAGCCCCATCTCCCAGACTGCCCCTGCTGAGCCCCAACCACCTTCACCTGGACCCCTCTGCAGAGTACCATTCTCCCCGGACCTGGAACCTCCCATTGAGCCTCTGTGCATCCAGATTTCCCATGCACCTGCCCCCCCCCCACTGAGCTGCCCACACCCAGATTGCCCCACAGAGAACCCTCTCACTCCCCACCTGGATCCCCCCACACTAAGCCCGTCCACACTTGGATCCTGCTGGGCTGAGCCTGCTTGCCCCACACCTGGATTGGGGGCCAGGAGCGGACATGTGTGTGAGACTCTGTCCCTTTTGCTTACATTGGTGCACCCCATGGTGTTTCTGGGGCAGACTCAGCCCTTGTGCTGTGTCAGGGTTGGGTGCATCCTCTTCACCGAGTCCATGTCCTGGGAGGGGAGGGCAGGGTGATCTCCCAGCTCCATGCAGCCAGTGGCCTGTGCTCCCCACTGCCATGCTGGAGCCTCCACATTGTTAATATTACAGTATTAAAAGGTGACCAAAGACAACATACTTTATTTATTATAACCATTATCATTGAGAAAACTCAAAGCTGGATGATGATATTATCTGCTAGTGAGAACTTTGAACATCATAAAAAATGGATGATCTAACACTGGGAGTTTGTTATTTCAAAGCATTTCTATCTCAGCACTCAAAATGAGACAGATTCTGGGTCTAAAAGTTCTTTCTCTCTTCTCTTTTCATCACAGAATTTCTAGCTATGGTTGTGAAAGACGATTATCACAGCATATGACCTGAAGATCGGTGTTACCTTTCCATGAGGATGCCACCCTCTCTGAACTGACAACCAGGCTTTGGAAGCACAAATCAAGTAATGCATAGGGGAGAGCTTGCTGACATTTTTTTCATTGAAACATTTTTTGGACCAAAAATTGGCTTTTCTGACCAAAGTAAAAATTTGTGTAGGAAATTTTCATTTTGGTGGAGATTTTCCAGATTTTTTGACAAAAAATAAAATAAAAACAAAAACCACCACAACAACCTGAAAATAAAAACTCCTCAATACATTTTTTTGGTTTTCAACACAAATTTTGTGCTAAACCCAAAGCTTTTTCTATCCATATTTTTTTGAAAACCAAAAATATTTCAATTTTGGTATAGGTATAAAACTGAGAAACAAAACATTAATGGGAAATTTAAAACACATTTTTTTTCAAAATTTACTGTGAAAAATACTTGGCATTTTTTTGACCAGCTCTGGTATATCATATATGCACATTAAGCATTTTTAAGTGAACTGTGAGAAACATGAGTAAATAAAATAAAATATTATATATTATTATAATATTATAATCCAACCCTCTCTGAATTTAATATAATTATTCGAATTATAACAACTACAAAAATGTGTTCCATGTTGGGTCAGCTTTCTCCTCTTCTGATTCAGGAAGGAGATGAGGTGAGAGTGAACAGCATTGCTTAAATCAAGTTTCCCCATTTTCCAGCCAATGTGATCTTCAATTTCCTTGTCACAACCTGACTGTGTGGTCACCAGTCCTCTGTGAATGGACCCAGTTGTTGGGTCCCATGTGCTTCTAAGCCCACTGGGTCTGGGTAGAGTCTAATCACTCTTTCTAGCTTTGAGTCCCTAGGGCAAACTTTTTGGCCTGAGGGCCACATCTGGGTATGGAAATTGTATGGCGGGCAATGAATGCTCGCGAAATTAGGGTTGGGATGCAGGAGGCCGTGAGGGCTCCTGCTAGGGGTGTGGGCTCTGGGGTGGGGCTGGGGATGAGGAATTGGGGGTGAAGGAGGGTACTCCGGGTTGGGACCGAGGGGCTCGGAGGGCAGGAGGGGGATTAGGGCTGGGGCAGGGAGTTGCAGTGCAGGAGGAGATCAGGGGGGCAGGCTCCCGGCAGTGCTTACCTCAAGCAACTCCCAGAAACAGCGTCATGTCCCCACTCCGGCTCCTACACAGAGGCGCAGCCAGGCGGCCCTGTGTGCAGGCGCTGCCCCTGTAGCTCCCATTGGCTACAGTTCCCGGCCAATGGGAGCTGTGGGGGTGACACTTGGGGTGGGGGCAGCGTGCAGAGCCCCCCTGGCTGCCCCTACGCATAGGAGCTGGAGGGGGGGACGAGCTGCTGCTTCTGGGAGCCGTGTGGAGTGGGACAAGACCCCGATCCCGCTCCCTGGCTGGAGCACCAGAGTAGGGCAAGACCCAGACCCTGCTTCCCGGCAGGAGCTTGAGGGCCGTATAAAAAGGTCTGGAGGGCTGGATGTGGCCCCCGGGCCGTAGTTTGCCCACCTCTGCCCTAGGGCATAGTCTCAGGCACAGACTGCTTTTCTGATGCCCTTCCTGGTGTCAGAAACAGTGATGGGGATAGTTGGGTCTAGTGGTCGGAGCCATGGCCATTGAGCCTAGTGGTTGGAGCCAGGAGTCAGAGCTGTAATCAGGTGCCCAGAGTGGGGTTTGGGCGAGGCTGGAGTGAAAGCAAGGCTGGAGCAGGACTAGGAACAGAGTGGGAGCAAGAGCAGGACTGAAGTAGATCTAGGAACAGGGCTAGAGCTAGAGTTAGAGCAAGACCAAGAGACTTTACTCTTAAGTACTCAAGAGTTACAGATCTTTGAAAACAACAGAAGTCCTGAGATGCATCCTCCCCTACTCTGATCTCACCCCTTCTGTGAGTCTAAGGCTTGTCAATGTTTCAGGATGAGCAGAATCCATCCTGCCCCCTCTGTCCTGCAAGGCCTTCATGTGTGTGGTGATAGTTGGCTCCCGACTCAGAGCAGCACCCCACTCTTAAGTATAGTCTCTGTCTCTTTTGCTATGTGCTCCCCAGAGATTCTCCAGCTCCCTCCCACTTTGTCACGCTGCCCCAGCTGTGAGCCCCTGTGTAGAAAAAACATTGTTCCAGCATAGGCCAGCAGTTGAGAGACAGTCAATGGTCCTAGATTGCAGTCTGGATGACTTCTCCATGACAGTCCTTCGACAAGGTGTCAAGCAACTTTTCCAGGCAGGGGAACTGTCTGGAATGCAGTACAATAACCTGCACTAAGGCAAGATTAGACAACATGTGTTCGACACATAATACAAAATGGAGTTCAATAAAAGATATTACCTCACCTGACTCGTCTCATATCCTGGGACCAACACGGCTACAACACTGCAAACAATTTGTATTTTAATTAATGATACACTATATACAGTGAATTATATTTTGGCATGCCGAGCTATTCACTATTATTATTACAAACATGTTGGTAGTGGTGAATATTCCTAGGTGGGAAGGACTGAGTCATTGGCGGTAGAGTGTCTTCCTTCCTTCCACCTCACGGATTCAAGATGATAAATTGAACCTGTGCTTCAGAAGAGAAGCGTCCCCTGCTCCCCTTTTACAACACAGAGCAACTGATGCCTCCCTCTAAAGTTTCAGATACTAGGCACTGCCAGAATCAGAATGCTGGACTACATCATAGGTACTCAACCTGGGGGCCAAGAACATGTCCAAGGGAGTTGTGACCACTCTCACTTTCCTCATGGCTACCTGAGAGGAGGGCCCTGGAACCTTTTTTCTTTTTTAACATGGCATTACAATATGGAAAAAGTTGATGACCACTGGACTAGATAAAGCAATGGTCTGATGCAGTGTGGCAAATTCTCTCTCTCTCTTTGTCCAAATCAATATCTTACAATACTTTGACGGCTTATGCAGTGTTAAGAATGTGACTCAAATCAGCAAAAGTGAAGAGAATTAGAATTGCTGATTCCATGTCATATATATACTTCACTACCTGAGCACAATGGGGTGGCAGAAGGATGGAGTTTCAGCCTTTGCACTGATGCTTCCTACTGGTGTGGTTATCAGACACATCTGAACAGTTTTTGTAGTGTGGCAGACTGTGTAACCAATAGCATTCCTCCAGCATAGTTGGATATGTGCTTGTGTTTCTCAAGAACAGCCTTGTCAGATGTGCTATGGACTATTGTGTGTAATCATGTTGCCCTCTATTGGCTAAAGTTTATAGCTGCATTATCATTCTTCCCCAAGCTCCAAATCTAAATCACATTGGTAGGGTAGCATGGAGAAGTCCACACTGCGGCTGCCCTGCTTGCCCTGTCCTGTCATTATCCAGATGGTTTCATTCTCCAGGACCATTAGTCTGACACCTTGCATGAGCACTAAAAATTACATTTTAAACAAAGCAGTTGCAAGTGGTATAAGAGTGAAATTATACCAGCAAGTTCCAGCTCTAATTTTATTGGTGAAAGAAGGGACAGCAGCTGGAAAAAGCTGAATAAAGATCAGCTCTTAAAGTCAGATTTAAAAGCAACAGAATTGAAAGCACTCAGATTAAAATGGCTAATTATTGCACAAGAGTCATGAAATAATTGTGTTGGGAATGGGATCTTTATGGTCTGATGACAATGACTCACAGCTGTAAACTCTTTGGAGAACATTTTTACCAGACCCAAACACCGGTAAAACCTATCAGTAGGTTCAGATTGTGTGATTCAGACGAGAGCGAACCAGATAACTAACTATGTTTTGAAATCATATGCAGTTGCCAGGTCAATGGATGCGGGAATATTGCTTAATTTCTGCTGGGAAAATGTAAAGGGTAGGATAAGGATGACAGTTCTTAAATTCATGGGAAAACTTGA